GTTGAATTGCTGTGCAACTTCGTCTCTTGGACCGCAGCTATCAATATACCATGCCGACACATGAAGACGGTTATCTCCTCAATCTTGCTCTATAGCCCGTTACAGTTAAATTGAAGGAGCTTCATGTGGTTCAGGAGACGTGTCGTGATGTGGNCTAAGCCACCACCATTATCTCGTTCGCGATCTCGACGGTGCACGTTGTACCCGGCACAATTCAACAATGTTGTCTCCTCAATCTTGCTCTATAGCCCGTTACAGTTAAATTGAAGGAGCTTCATGTGGTTCAGGAGACGTGTTGTGATGTGGGGTGTAAGGGATGTGTGTGTTCTTACTGCCGTTGGCTGTGTGCGCTGCTCTGATGGTTGCCGCCCTGTGGTGGTGGCGGGGGGCGTCGCAGTTGGGGTCTGCGACCTGGCAGCGCAACACGGGCCCTCGAAGTTCCTCGTCCAGTCTCGCGTGGTATACAGACCTGAGCATGCCCCAAAGTGTCACCAGCCAAGGCAGGTGTTGCACTTGACTGATGTCACATTACGGAATATCCTGGTCTGACATACCCTGCAGATTGTAGGAGGAACCAGGAGTTTTTGGCGGCGGCGTGTGGGTGGGGTTAGATCGCCGAAACAACAGCCCTTGGTCGGGTAAAACCCGAGTCATTCCGGTACGTAGAACCGGCTGTCGTGGGAATGACAAAAGTGTTCCTCTGTCATGCTGTAGCGGACCAACTCGTGTCTCTGCGCCAGCTTATTGTTTGTTATCCGATCTCTGCTCGTGTTTTAACGAAATGTGATTGAAGGTTAGGATTTGAAAGCACATTTGCATGTCTGGCTGTAGCTGAACGTGCAGAGATGCTCGCTGTTAGTTCTTAGCTCCCAGCATGTTCGGGTTCGAATGCCGTCAGAGGCAACATGTAATTTTTAATTTTTGTCTTGGTTTTTATTAATTTCGAAAAAGCATTTGAGAAGAACAAAAGCTTGTACAAACAAAAAAATATAGCAACAATGCCATTGTTAATATGTTGGAGTAGTTTTGTGCTACTCTGATGTAATGCAGGGATGGAGTATATAGTCCTGCCTTAGAACATCGCAATGTTAATTGGACCATATTTTTTCTATGAATTGTGGTTAATTTTGGAGTACTCCTTGGTCCTTAGGGAGTACTATTTACACGCATGCATGGAGTAGTCGCGATTTTTGCAGGGGATAAGCGCTCGAGGCTCGATATCATGAAATGTGAAGTAGAAATTAGTGATTTACGGTTTCGAGTATTAAAAGAACTGGTTCTGTGGAGTTCAGTTCCAAAGAGAACTGGGAATTTGGACCGATTCCGGTTCTCAAAAAAGGGTTACGGAAATAAGCCTCATCGAAGTAGCTTAAAACATTATTTTAAAAAGTTTGTACAATAAATTAACGTCCTTTCATATTTTCGCCATAAAGTGGAGTAAATAAAATTGTAAATATATGTATGTATAAGTTACGTCCACTCCTTAGTTGAATTTTTCCAACAAAAATTTTATAAAATAAAATACATGAGATGAAATTTAAGTAAGCGTTTTCCAGGTTAGATTTTATTTAAAACACAGTAATATTTCCTATTAAAAACATGATTTTTTCGATGCTCTTTTAACGCGTACGAATCGCAGCTAAAAACGATTTGAAAGCGTCAAAGATGAGGAAGAAAACTAACATAACATTAAATAATAAAAAAATTATAATTATAAATTAAACCGAAATTGATGTAAGTCGGCCAGACCGGGATATGGCGGCTATGTAATACGGTGCCTTGAACCACACAAAATTTAGTAGATCTCCATATTACGTAAACAAACCGAATTTCAAGTTAATAGCAAAGAACGTTGATAACAAGAAGGGACAACTCGTTATAATTGCGGCGAAAGTGCGCAACAGGGGCGTGCCTTCTCTTTTCATCCAATCAAAAATCGGGTATATGCCGGGTATACGATATAGCGTCTCGAACCGAAAAAGATTTGGTAGGTAAACTCAGAACTTCGGTTTTTAGGTTCTATAAGATCCACTTTCGGTTTTGTTGAAATGGGTTTTTAGTTCTTTTTACTTGTTTTCTCTGTTTTTCTGAGATCATTTTCTACTTCCGGAACCGTTTTCCGTTCTTCGGCTCTTTGGAATAGTGTGTCAGTTCTGCCGGAACCGTTTTTCGGTTTTTTTTGGAATCGAATTTCAATACTTTTGAACTGTTTTTCGGTTCTTTTGGAATCGAGTTTCGGTACTTCCGCAAACGTTTTTCGGTTCTTTTGGAATCGAGTTTCGGTTTTTCGGAACCGTTTTTCGGTTCTTTTATAACTGAGTTTTGGTTGTTCCAGAATTGCTTTTCAGTTCTTGTAAGAACCGGACCGGTCGGTTCTCTAAAGGACCCGGTTCTAAGGTTCCGGTTCCTCGGTTTTGTGCATTGTTAGTAGAAATACAACCAAAATGATTCAATCGATTTTATATACAATTTTACCTACATACCGCAAGCTCTTCTCAAATCAATTCGTAGGCTTTATCTCAAATTAATGCAAATATTTTTTTCACGTTTATATACTCTTACTAGAAAGCTGCTGTTAAACCTGCTTTTGTATAAATTGCGGAGAATCTGCACAATCCACAAGCAGAAGATTTAATTTTTGAGTTGTGCCTCTTTTTAAGAGAGTGTTGGACATAACCCCATCCTGTCGAAACAACTAAATCGGGTTTCTCTCATAACTCTTTTATTTGATATCGCAGAAGATAATTTAGGTAGGTCTTCTTAAGTGAAGTCATTGTGAAAGGCCTACCCAAGAAGTACTGAAAAAAGTGCATGCTTGCATGTCCTCTAGAAAGTCTTTTTTTATTTGTACATTCTTATCAGTTAACATTACAAATGAATTTAAATATGCATTTTGGATTGCATTAAAACATATTTTATATGAGCCTTGAATAAGTACCTTAAAGACGTATGATGTTTATGAGTTAAAAATCAATTTTATAACAACTCCCAAGAAGGCCTTCAATTTAAGCCACTCTATCAAAAAAGAAAGGAGAAACGAATGTAGAGTGGAAGTTCTCCTGAAATTATCTACTGGGCCATAGCATACAAGGCTTCACCGCTAACATATTTATATTGATTTACCGGGAGATCTGTATACCCCTGCAAAAGCAGTATATTTATGTTGTACCTTTATTTATTGGAAACAGCAATTTTTGAGTACATTCATACATATATTTTAGTGATTTTTATTATTGCGTGCTGCTTTCTGTAACCGATCTATGTCCAGTATAAGTTGACCCCATCATTTCAGACGCGGGCCTCGGAGACAGAACAGCACTTAGAAAGTTATCATCATACAATCGTTAATAAAAAATTTTCGTTCTTAAACTTAGTTAAATCTGATTTAGAAAACTTAAAACCAAGCTAGACTACTGCTAAACTTCTCCACCTTTTTTACAAATTCTATAAAGTCCGCATACAACAACTGGGGCATTTCCAGCGCCACAAAGTGTCCACCATTGCTATAATATTTGCTATGAATCAAATTACGATATTTATCTTTCAACTGATTATCGTAAAAGTGTATCAAATCATGCTTGAAACGTGCACAACCGGTCGGCACATCAGTTGGAACCCAATCCATTTGCAACTCACGTTGCTGCTGAGAATGAGTTTCGGCGAATAGACGTGAGGAAGTAATTATCGAATTCGTCAAGTGATATAGCATAACATTATCCAGGAGTGCATCCAGCTTGAAACGTTCACTCAAACCGCCATTGGCAGATTCTTTATACTTCCTATTAGTAAGCGAGGACCATTTCTCTAGTATGTAGGCAGCTAAGCCAATCGGGTTGTCGGTGAGCACAGCTCCAATTGTGTCTGGTTTTGTAGCTTGTAAATGATAGTAGCCACTTTCTTCGATCAGATGTTTTATGGGCTCCCAATGTGGCAAGAAATTGGCTTCAAAGCCATGTGCGCCGAAAATATTGGATTTCACTGCATTTATAAAGCCTTTCACAAGCGACCGCTCCGTGAAGACAGCGCACAAATTTGAGTGATATCCAAGTACATTCTCTGGAAATAGCGTAGCCATATGAGAAGCAACTAGGGAACCCATATCACTACCGTGTATGAAGAATCGCTTATAGCCCAAACGCAGCATAAGATTGCGCATGATTACAGCCACTTGTACGGGGCCTAGGCCCACTTTCGATGCGCCCTACAAAAAAGGCAGAAAAAATTAACAAATAAATAAATTTATTAATATTATTTTATGACTACCTGTGACCACGCAAACCCTGGCAAACTAGGCGCCACAACATTAAAAATATATTTGTTTTTCTTATCCAGGTGTGTCTGATGAAGTTTATGTATTAGCGGATAAAATTCACGTATTGAGCTGGGCCAGCCATGCAGCAGAAGTACAGGGTAGTGATTTTTATCCACTTTGTTCTCATCATAAACCATTAAATGCAAGAAATGTATAAGTAAGCTGAAAAGAAGTGGTGTATGTGAGTATGTATTGTTAAAAAATATATCGTTACTTTAACTCATAAAGGCCCTAACCAATTGCGTTTTTCGCACATTTTGGTAGGATGTATTAAAACACACCTTCAATAAAAACATTTGAAGTGTTAGTACCAAAAACAATGGAGTTACATGCCACTTTTAAAAAAGCTCTACATGTTTTTGATACTCATTTTATAATGTTTTTTGCTTCTCCTGTAAATTAAAAAAATTGTTGGTGTAGTGAATTAAGGTGACGATATGTACATATGTTTTAAACTGTTTTTGTATAGGGTAATGCAGATCTTTCACATAAATTATTTGTGATATGTTAATATTTGATTTTTCAGAAAATTGGTACTACAGGCTTGGCAAACTTAGTCATGAAG